TCTGGAGGGCAGCAGGTTCTCCTTCCTGAGATAGGTGAGTATGATTCAGCATAGCTTGTTATCTTGGCTGAATGTAGCTTCCTCCACCCAAAATATATGGAAAGGGGTTTCAGTCTTCATTATCTGCATCATGAAGTTGGGCAGCTCTATCCAAGGAAAGTCATCACTTTGGCTTTGTTATATGTCCACACTCATGGTGAGAGGGAGTCTATGGAAGGTCAAGTACATTTGTAGGAGGCCCTGTTTAAAGTTACTTCAACAAGGAAGACATGAGTAACTAGAAAAAGTAGTGGCAAAGTTATGGATGGAATGTGGACTCCCAAATTCTTTTAAGTGTATTGTCTTGGTCTCCAGTATCAAAATGTAAGAAGACACACCACTACATCTGTAGGCAAAATAAATATTTTTATTGGCATAGTAGCCTTTTTAAAAAGGATTCAGCCCTTGGGTGTATATTCCCAACACAAAGTTTTTTGACATACTTCTCCCAGTATTGTTACATTTTTATGAGTCACTGATTATTTAACAAAATCTTAATTTTATTAGCTGAAAACATTTTAAAAACATGTAAGGTAGCTGATTAGCATTTAAGACATGGCTATATTTCAACTCTTTGAGCATTAATGTATAAACTATGTATTAAGAATCACACTTGCTTCCATTTTTATTGGCGGTAATGAATGCCATTTTCCTTAGGCTGTAGGAAAAACAAGTGAATTTCCCGTAACAGCAGTCTAATGCTAAGCCCATGTTGTTACATACCACTTGTTTTGCCTTTTAAACTAGTGTTTTTCCAACTTGCTTTAGTAGGCAGAGGAAATGGCTAAAAACCACCTCTTAATATAATTGCAGAGTAGTTCATACATTAAGTTAAAAAAAAAAAAAAGACAAGACATCCCAAGAAAAAAGGGAAAGATAAAGAAAGCAGAAAATTATATAAATCCTTTTTTTAAAAAAAGGTTATCTACTATACAAAGATAAGGCTTTCAGTGTAAGCGTCTGTAGTAGTTTTAAGTAAATTCATGTCATTTTCTAAACTCTCTGCAAATGACAGCTTCTCCCAAGCGTTCATTTGTACAACAGCTTCTTCTCTTCTTTTTAAGTGGCACTTGATAACAGCAGTGGAAATGATTACTCCAAGCTCTCAAAGTGAAACAGTTATTGCACAGTTAAATACCTCACAGAGGTCAGCAGGGATTTTTGTTGTTGTTGTGTGAAACTATAACAATCCTAGGCTATTTATAACCAGGGAAGGTCCAGAAATCTTCAAGTCTTAGAAGGAACACACAAATAAATATTAAGGCTTGCAAGATAATCACAATTCTCTTGATCATTTATGCACATCAGTAAGATGAAAAGTGCCTGGATCTTAGCACATAGGCCTGACATGGGAAGACATGCAGCACACAAGTCACTGTTGCATACAACAGCAGTCTCTCCTGGTGTCAGGCTGGCAGGCAGATGCATCCGTCTACATATCCCAAAAGGAGACATCCACGGGGTCCTCTGGACCATATACTAACCCTTGGGAAAACAAACAAACACATTATTTGAAGTCAGAAGGAGATATACTTGGTTATTTAAAGCACTAGTGGGATAAACGTTAATATTCTAAAAACCATGATTTTGAATCTATCCTTGGATTCAAGAGTAATTACAGACAGGTGGCTTTGCAAAAGTTAATCAGACAATATTGCGAAGCGGACGCTTTATGGTTTAATTTTTAAAGGAGAGATTTCTAGTATTCTCCTTAAAGGTGATTTTCTAACTTGGTTCTGGGGTATTCTGATATATCTAGAAAGTTAACAGTAGGGTTCTCCAAAGTCAAGATCAGTAATGATGGGTATGTTTCCCTGGAAAGGTAGAGAAAATGGCTTTTCTCCGTAAAGAGCAGCACAGACACATTTCATGAGGATATTTTAAGAAGCACTCTGTTAACTATAGTTCCTACTGACATACAAAGGAAAGGTGGGAGACAACACGTTCTCCGGTGGACTGTGTCTCCATCCTATAACATTCCCAGCTATGTAAGTATAGAGAAATACATAGGAAGAACCGCATTACAAAGGAAAATTCTGCTGCTATTGTGTCTTTAAGGCTAGTCAGTTTTATACAGGATAGATCCAATTTCTGATAGTCTCAATTTGTATGTAATTACTTAATTTTATAATATAGTTTTTCCCACCCAAAGCGGACTTAGAAACTGGCCATTTAAAAGCAATGCAGACTTTGGCAGAATTCATAAAGGCAGGTTATGAACATATTACATAAGCAGTTGAAATGTTAGAAGTCATGCATATATTATGTATAAATCTTCACCATCCTATCAAGCAGTCCAAGTGATGGGCAACCAACTGAAGAACTTACCTGTAGTACCGATTCACGGCTGTGTTTCTTGCTTAGCAGTAGCTGATACGCCTGGGGAAGCAACAGCTGCTAACAGCCCACTTACAATTTCCCGTCTGATTTCCCCAACAATAGACTCCTTGATCTAAAGATAAAATCACAATTTACTTTAAGTGATGGAATCTACCAGATACTTTATTTATACAGAACTATAGCTTGCCCAGCCTCACAGATTCTGACTGGGAAATCCTCCTTTCCTCCGATTTTTATTCCCTACTTTGGAGTGGAGGAGGTGGGAATCACTGAATTCCTGCTCATTCAGTCTTCCTGTCTCAGTAGTTTCAAAATTTGGAGGCAGGATTAACACAACTGCCCTCATGCCCACCCGAAAAATAGCAGTTTCCATAGTGAGCAAAATGGCTAGGTTTTCCATGTAGGACCAACTACATTTCTTGTTTTACATGTGCTAGAACTGGGTGCATCACAGACTTCATGGGCCAAACCAGTAAACACCTTTCTACTATATTTTTTATCTTGTAAGGCAGTCTTCAAGTCCCTTTTTTTCTCCAGCCCTCTGAGCCCGTTGGACCAAGGCCACTAAAAACTAACAGTAGTTTCCTACCATTTTGAGGTGCAGGATATTTTACAAGCCTTAAAACAGTCATTATCACAGTTAAAAAGCAAAGCCCCCCTCATGTGATGTGGCCCTATTTTACAGCCTCTACATTCCCAAAATGTTCAATGCTGTCTTTGCTACAAAAATGTTGCCCGCTGATACAGGGTAACTCAGTTAAAATACTGAATAGGTTTATATAATGGGATAAATCATTGCATGGTTTAACTGCCTTAGTGTGTTATATAATCCCAACCACTCAATCATGGTTAAGGATTTTGTTATGTTGTGTGCAAACCTGGCATTGCACAATGTTCATACCAGTTATGAACATTTACATATAACTGACCAGTTATAATGTCAGTGACTAAATTAGCACATTCCATTTTCCAGTGGGTCCCTTTCTCTTCCAGTTAGTCCAGGGATCCATCCTTCCCTTGAGCTAGGAAGAAAAAGCTGGTTGCCGTGGGCATCAGTCATGGTCCTGACTGGGGACTCCTGGGAACTACAATCAAAAGTAACTGGATGGCACTACTTTGCCTATCCCTGTCCCAACAGCCAAGATGGAAGAGATTTCTCCAAGACTGCCCTTTCCATATCACTCTACCCACCACACAAAATCCATCTGATACACAGCTCTGTGTATTTCTGCCCTCAAAAAAGTGTTTGACCACCTTTAGAGAACTGCTGGAGCAGCTGTCTTCAGAACCAAAGGCTCTTAATTCTAGCCTCACTGACTCCTGAGGGTACTCAAGAGCAGCAGAGTAACAAGGCTATGAATAAACTTAATGGAAGTCAACTGCACATTCTGGAATGATCATTTCTGAATTAGCATAGTCGATGACCAAAGAACGAGATGAATCTTTGTGAGAAGAGGCAAGTTGTGTTCTACTCCCGGCTTAACAACAGCCAGACTTCCAGTGTGACCTTGGCAGGAAGCTATAAGCCCTCAGCATTGAAATTTGCTGGCTGCTTGAGGGATACTTCTGCACTCTGTGAGATAATGCATACAACTTTTCTTCTGGAAAGTAATGCTAAAGAACAAACCTTGGACCAGAAACTATAGCTGAATATATTAAAAAGAAATTTAAGGGAGGGGGGCAGGAGAGAAGAGAACCATATTCCCATATTATCTGAAAACCAGTACTCTGCATAACAAAGGATAAACTGTTTGCATGAAATAAGAACTTTCTGCTTCTGGAAAAATTTTCTTGGAAATGGAGATGTTTCAGCACATTCACATTACTTCTCTCTACCAAAACATCCATATCACTTGCAATGGTGTACCAGAATCTTGAAAAAACTTCACAGTAACTTCTAAAAATCAAGTCTCCCTTGAACAATTTGTTTTTCCTCAGTATCAATCCACTGATAAAAGACTTTACTACATTTTTGTTATGTTTTGTTCTATTCCATAAATCAAAGGTCAGACTGTATGTTTTTCGAACCAAGAGAGAACATATCTTGACCTCTTTCTTTTTCTTTCTTTTTCTGTAGGAGGACTGTACTAGTTTATTTTGAAGGGGGAGAAGGCTCTTTTTCATTCTAGTAAACAGAGGTCAAAAACTCAAACTCATTATAGGCCACTCAGAAATACTCTGAAATACTGGGTTTTTTTTACGCCTTCACCCTGCCCCACCGCAAACAAAATAATTCAAACATACAGAAGGAGAGAAATCATTCACTATGCCACAAATTTAACATTGTGAAGAAATATCAAGAATGTGCATTAATACGTTTTCCTCCAATAGAGTCCCTCTGTTCTGAAAGCAAACAAAGCCTGGCTAAAGTTTGGGTATTTATGAGACTCAGGTCTGAATAGTCACTGACACACATGACACTCAACACCCCCTCTTCCTGCAACACATACATCATTGAGCACACTGACCAACTTTGGAATTTGAGAAATAGGGGCTGCATCCTTCCACCCACTTACCTGGAATGTAACCAAGAGAGCTCAATGGGACTTCTGTACAGAAATGTGTCAGAGGGTGCAGTTAAACTGTTTGAGATTCAGACAGATAGTCTACCACATCTTCACTAGTAGGTACCCGTTATGTAAATGCAACTTGATGTTTTAAAGCATTCACTGGACCCCTTGAATGTCATGAGATTTTGGCAACCTCATGTGACGACTTTCAAGACATCAGCCATTTTTCATATAGTACAATTTAACTATACAATTATTGTCCATCCCAGATTATGCAGAAAGGCTAGGTGCTAGCCGTCACTGAACAGAAACTATATGACATCTTTCCTTCAGATGTAGGCTGTAGATGTGTATAATGTATCTCAAAGCTAGAATGGTCAATCTTTAAGCATGGCCACTGGGAATTAAGCTCCATAATACCTATCAGAATGCACATTTAATTCATGTCTTTAAGATAGTTTGACTGTCTTCTAACTCTAGGAATTGGCCTATATGCAAACAGTTTGCATGAACGATATGCAATAGCCTGCTTCAGGCATTTATCTTACAGGGTGCAACACAAAGATCCCTTCCACTCACACTGAACAGACAGCCAATCCTGTCAGTTATGCATTGACTGAAACTGCACTCTGGAGAAGAGATCGAAGTGCACCCCTCACCAGGCCTCTCTTGCTATCCTCAATCATGACAACCTGAACCATTGCTTATATGATGCAGGGCCTCCTCTGTTAGACTGAAATGCATTCAACTAGTTACCAAAATTCCTTAGCTTGCAGATCCTTGTAGTAACCGATCCATTTTAAATACAACTAAGTATTAGTTATATAATGGCAGGGAGAGGCTATATTTCAATGGCAAAGCATGTGGTTGCATGCAACTGAAGTCTCTGGAATGCCAGTGTCAGGTGGAGTAAACATGCCTCAGTCCTGATGGACCACTACCCTGGCATAGCATAACTTTTTCCAAAGATCTGAAAATTTGCTACTTTTCCATTTCTGCAAAACCCTGGAAATCTAATGACCATAACTGACTAAAAATGGCCTAACTTCCTAGAAACAGCCACTGGAGAAAATCATGCTTTAAACATTGCTGGATTCCAACTATGTGAATATATTCTGAATTACAGGTGTCAAAGTGTATCAAAAAAAGGTCTTCCTTTAATTTTCTTTAAGCTGATTCTCACACCTCAAAGATTTTTGGTGTTTTTTTTTCTTTAAACAATAAAATCAGGGAGCTTCTTATTGGGCTGGGTTAATGATTACCAAAGTTAGTGAGGTGCTACAATACAATTAGGTTGTACAGTAGAATAGAAAACAGCATTTTCAGGCATTTATTTATTCACTTATTGGGATTATGCCCCTCCAACTCTCAGTTCATGGAAGTTTCCATGAGAGGACCTCTCTTATTCCCTTGTTATATTCAGCTGTCCTTCCTACAGAGTTTTCCCCACTGAAATTCTGGGCTGCTACTAAAGGGGAAAAAACTTGCAGCCACTTAATGTCTCTCAGTGGATGAACAGCAATAGCCTTATTAACTGTTATATTTTAAAAATAAACTAGCCAATTGTAATTGATTAGCTGATCAATTATCCTTTTCTCCAAGATGTTCTAACCCTTTTCATCAAAATCCATTTTGATTAATTTAATTTGTTTAAATTAATCTTTCCTTCTTGCCCATTTTCAGCTACTCATTCTCAATTCAGACTTTGGCAAAACCTCTGACTGAAAGGGAGAGAGATGGCCTAGGCCAGCGTTGTCCAAACTTGGCCACTTTGCTGGCTGGGGAATTCTGGGAGTTGAAGTCCACTCATCTTAAAGTGGCCAAGTTTGGACAACACTGGCCTAGGCATATCCATGCAAGCACACAAAATCCTCCCAGTAGGAATACTCCAGCTGACTTTGCCCTCACCTCTCGGATGACTTGCTGCAGTTCCTCATTCTCCACATTCTTGGACATTTCCTCAGCTGCAGGCCCAAGGGGAAGCTTTTCAAGTTTCTGCCCCACAGTGGAGGTGGATGTCAAGTGCTCCTCAGGTGGCTGCCTGACTCCTGCTCTTGCAGGCGGAGAGGGCATCAAGGCTATGCTTGCCCGGTACACCTTTTGGCTGGGTGGCTTGCACCTTTCAGATGACCGCCCGTGGGCTTTTCTGCTGGCTTGACTAGAACACACCGAAGAGGAATCAGAATGCGCACAGTGATCAAATGCAGATTCCGAGCCTTCAGGTGGAGGAGTGTGCATGCCAGGTTCCCCCAGTCCCAGCCCTAACTCTGATTTCAGAGATGATTGCTCTCGAATGAGTTCAGAGACCTGGGGATTCAGGAAGTGGAAAGAATCAGACACTGTAGCAAGAGCATAAACATAGTTTCTTGCACTTGAGTCATGAGCCTTATTTTAGTTACCTGGTAAACAGCCCTGCACCCCTAAATACCTAAAGGCCTACCATGAATTCAGTAATAACACCCCCCACCCCCAATCTCATCTGTAGAGGATAGGCACAGACTCTAATGTGTAGCTTTGGCCTGTACTAGAGAAAAATGCAGTGCTGTCGATAGAGAATAGTAATGCCACGTTAATCTATAATGAATTAGTAAAATTTTCTGATAGATGACATAAGCATTACTCCTCCATCCCACCATACAATGGAATTACAGGAATTAGTAACTGTTGTATCATAAATGAGAGAACTCCCAAAAAATGTAATTAAAAGGCCTTGAAAGTTCTCTTTTTTACCCTTCATCCAACAACAAAACCCACAAGAAAATATCACTTAATAAATAAATACATAAATTAAATTGTTGGCAAACAACACAGATCAGAAATCCACTACTGCAAATTGGGTGTAGACTGAAAGCCAGCAAGGTGTAGCAGTTCAGGTGCTGGACTGGCTCACAGGCTCAGTTCCACCTTGAGCCAAATAAACTCAATGGGTAAATTTGGGCCAATAGCTTTCTCAGTCCATCCTACTCCCTGGGTTGCTATAGGGAAAAATAGGATTAGGAAACACTACGTGTGGCTCCTTGAGGTCCTGAAGGAAAGGCAGGATATAACTCTAACAAGGAAACTCTAACATCAAGAAATAGTTTTTCCAGTGTTAGCCATCCATGTGTACAGAAGTGAAGAATTAAATCCACTTTCCCAACAGGCAATTGCAAAATCTTGAAATATGCTATTGCTAGAGAAAATCATTTAATAGCGTATAAACTCCTCTAAAATAATATGAAGAGTAAAAAAAGAATAGGAAGACCCCTCAAAACATGAATCAACCTTGGAGTTAATCATATTCTTCTTACCTCCAAGGTTCAAAGTAATTCTAGACCATCTGTCTAGTTATTTCACTTGTGTCAAAGATGGGAATAATTTGCCACCTGAGAAAATGTCCTAAGGATCTTTATGCCAAGATAAATAAATGAATAAGAACACAGTCTAAACGCTCAATTTCTAAACATGTCAAAATTGTTTTTGGAGACCCAATGGCATCAAGTCTGACTTACTCCAATTCATAAAGTAACCAGATAGGATTTCAAACTCAAATATTAGCAAAATAAAATTAGGAATAGAGGTTTTTGGATTATCTAACATCTGCATATAGCGATGGGTGTCTAGGAGGGGAGGATACTGGTGGTGGTGATAAAATGACACAAATACCATGAGTTATGTTCTTGTGTCAGATGTTGAGAACCAAGTACATAAAGAGGGATTTGTGTTATGGCATCACTGTACCTACATTGTCACTTTTATGCCACAGTGACTTCCTGTAGACACAGCTGCATACAGCAGAATCTTGTATTTTGCCTTGCCTATTTCAAGTCCTTTACTATTTTCAGAATTTCTTTGATATAGGCAAGAGGTTTTGAATCAGATTAAAAGGAAAGGGTGAAAAATAGGTCATCCTTAATTACTCCAGTAGTTACTTTATATCCAAGACTTTGAACATATCCAAATGTATCAGCTTCCCAGGCACCTAGACATCTAGGAAAGTCCTGTCATCTAAACATTTCCAGAAACTACTTTGTAGTGACAAGAAGCTAGTCTTCTCCAAGATAGCACTTGGGAATGGGGTCCAATAAGCCAGCAATAAGCACTGCTTAAAGCATATATTTTAATACTGACAATCCTCAATGACTAACTCCATATTTCAATTTTGACGACTTTTAAAAATTCTGTTTTTATCTTGTTTTTACTTTATTCTAGAAAGATTTTTATAGTTTTTGTAAAATGGTTCAGGATTTTTTTATAAAGTTAATTTAATCAATAATGAACATCCTATTCTGTTATGGAGGATTCCCCAACTTTCAGGAATAGCTTGAGTAAACATGAGAGATGTTGGGGGATAGGGAGGAGAGTAAAATCCAATCAGCAAAAATCAGGTGCCCCTATTCCTCCAAGTGAAATCCTATACTGGATACCAGCCCCTAAATCATAAGATACCCACCTTTCTCAGTGGATAAGTATCTTCACTCCTGCTTAAATTAAAACTGAAATCAAACAGAGCACCTTAATTCCATAATTCTGAGTTGTTTGTACACACCTATGACATTATGCACAGTCCTGTTCATAGCAATGAAAGACAGGCGTATTGCTTTTTATTATTTTCCTTCAAGCCAACATTAATTAGTAATTTTGCACATTCCTGCTTTGGCTGAATAAGGTTACTTACTGGCTCCATCACATTCAACGGAGAAGGACATGACAAATTATCAATGCTTCTGCTACCATACATTCCCTGGAAGGGAAGAGGAAAGGAGAAATTTGGATTATTATTTCTGAAAACTATTCACATTGTTTAATTGCCCATGCATTTTAAGATAAGGGCAATCAAAAAAGCATTGCAATGAAAAAGACAGTGAAGCCTATTTTAGAATTTTAGAAGGTGTTGTGTTTCTATGAATGTAGTAAGAAAGAAAACTATTTAATAAATCACAAGCAATTAAATTCTCACCCATCCCATCCCCCCAGGTTCTTTCATCTCTCTCATATTTGATTGTTCCTCTTCCAGGGAAAAAGGAGAAACCTGACCATGTTAAAGGCAACATTTGGTAAATGTGCAGTCTACAGATCTGCTTTATCTGTAATAGCTGTAATCATCCATTGGTTGGGCTTCAAACTCTATGAATCGCAAATAAGAAAAAGAAGTCGCATCTTCTATAATTTAGTTTCTTCTGGTTCCTTGTATAAAACATTCTTCACTCCATTTTTTCCATATTAAGAATCCAGAGAAATCAGATAACTAGACCCTTCACAAGGCAGTTATTAGATAACTGAATGAGAGGCAATTCTAATACAGTAACGCATAATTGATAATAAAATTGGATTGCTAATTATTGTTAACAAGTTTAGATTATCTCTATATGTCAGGATTTTATTTTTTATAAGAGAGCCACATATCTGCAGGAACTGGACCAGCACACTACCAGCCTCTTCAGCCTACATCTGAAGGAAAGATGTAATCTTCCAAACCCGTGAAGATTTATACCTGAATCAGCACGTCATCGTCATCTGTGTGGGCTGCCCACCCAAGATGCCAATGTTCCTAATATTAAATTGTGTTACGCTATGAAACATGGATTCACCTGAAAATCAATGTATCCCAAAACAAATTGTTCACTTCATCAGCTGTACAGGCTGGAGGCAAAATAAAAATTGAGGGCAGGAGTATAAACCTCACTCCCCATCTACACTGCAGTATTACTTCCCTTATGCAGAAGTTATACTGAAATTATTCTTTCATTAAATAGAAATTGCATCTTTAATCTGATCAAATTGGGACAGGGCTTTTTCCCATCAGGCAGCAGGTAATTTGTACCTCTTTGGGGAGAAACAATCAGGCTATTATCATGTCCTTGCTTAGTATGGAGCAACTGTATATTTCTGATATGCACAGACACTTGAGACAATGGCCAAAACACAAAACCCACCATGAAGGTTTGTTGTCTGCAAGGTGATGATTCATGCATGCTCCTGAGCTGCTCTTCAAGAGCAAGCAGACGTTCCTCTAACTGCATTTCTAACTCCTGAAGCTCCATACGAACCGATTTTCTCAGAGTCTGGAGCTGATCAGCTTCATATCTAAATCAGAAGCAAGTTCAATAAAACAAAAAGAATTTTTGTCATCGTGTGGACCATAAGAAATAGAAATACTGACAATCATCTAAAACGGCGGAGGAACCTAACCCTATCAGTCCAGGGACATGCAAGACTATGCCCATTCACGTGAAGAGATCAGTGAAAAGAGCAGGAGTAAATTCAGATGAGTCCCACCTACCTAATTATAATACTCTTGAGCTTTTAAATTTCTTAAAAACTAAAGCTAAACATTTAACTTTCAATAATGTATTTACATATCTACAAACTCCCATCATTTTAAACAGAACAGAGAGATCCAGAATCATTTCCATAATACACTGTCCAAGGTAAAGGTACACTGGTAATCATGACCATGTATTACCTCCAAAGATCTTGAATTAGAAGTAAATCCCCCAGAACATCACCAGCACTCCACCTTAACCCAGGGGACTGCATTGAAAAAGGGAGGAGGAAATGCTAATAAGAGGAAATGATGGTGTAAAGTGGATGGGGCCCCATCAAGCACATGGAGGTATGCCCAGGATTATTTTATCTCATGGATTGGTTGTTTGTTTGTTAAGCCATATGTTTAGGGCTTATGCTATCCCTACCTGCACAGAAGGTATGATGCCAATTTTCAATTATTATGTCAGAGAGGGATTCAGGGACTGTAGAAGAGAATTCAGGGGCTATGTACAGGGACTTGCACTTTCCACAGCCATGGGTATTTATCACAGCAGGTCAAGCAATCCACAGAAACTGAACTTAATGCAAGGCTAAAGAAATTTAAGGAAAGAGCATGATTTTCAGAAAGTGTTTGAGGTAGATGTAATTCAAGTATCAGGAACAGTATATTATAGAAGCAAGGAAGACAGACAGACAGACAGACAGTAAGACAGATGCATAAAGGAGAGAATGTGCTGGATTAAGCAACGCCATAGGTGTGATCTGGAACACAATCCAGGCAACATTTTCAGGGGACAACTTCTGCAGAAAGAAATGGGATTTGATACTGTTTTGAAGGGCTTCAATGCATAATGAAGCCACCTTGGTAGACCTCAGACTGGAAACAAAAGCTAAATAAAAAGGACTAAACTAAGGAGGGATGTTCAACCAGCCATTAAACATTTTTTAATATATTGATACCCTCCTACAACATTCGGTGAATAAAAAGGAGTGATCCAAATTAAATTAATAGCCCCTGCAAAAGTGGATAGCCTTGGGATTAGTCATGGTTTCCCAACTAAAGTACTTCACAAGTATAATAAAATGGTATGTATGAGATCATGGAAGGGTGGAATTTTAAAAAGTATACAGAAGGTTAAGTCTCCCTCAAGCTGAGCTCAACTCTTGGTGACTTCCTGAACACGTCCAGGCAGTTTTCTTGGTAACAAAATGAAAGTGATTGGCCACTGCCATTTTTCTACAAGCCTTTTTTAATAAATAAAAATCTCTGTCTAGCCTACAGCCAGGGATGTACGTGACTTCCCATCTAAGTAATAACGAGGTCTGCTTAGTTTTTCCAGTCAAGATTGGCTATAAGTATCTTAAGAATAACTACTGTATAAAATCTTAACACAGTAAGGATATAAAGACGTTTCCCACAAGATTGGGATCCTTCTTGTTGGGAACATCCAAAATCTAAAACTAGGAACTTGAACTGATGAATGTATAACCAAAGAGAAAGAAACTTACCAAGAGAAGAGATCATAGCAAAGGACAAAAAGCTGATCCAGAGAGACGTATTTGGAGCAGAATGAGCAGGAGAAAGATGGCAGGAAAAGGAAATTCAGCATGAGAATAGTTGCAGCAGTTTAACATCAGTAGTGATCAGAAAAAATTGTTTTAGCAGCAGAGGCAGAACACTGTATGTGCAGAAGAGGAGCAGCAGGACTTGCTAATTTATTTAGATGGACAACAAGAAGGAGAAGCATGTTTAAGATTAATTCAAGATTGTATACCTGGAAGAAAAAAAAGTGCTCTGAGAACATAATGGACAGGAGGATTTTAGTAAAAGAGAAGAAAAAACTCAACATTGGCACAAGTGCAATAGTTACCTCTCTTCTTCTGTCATGTGCTGATAAACAGCAGTCTGCTGGCGCAACATGGCCAATTCTAAGTCCATCATTTGAGTTCTAAAGAGATTTAGGTTCCTTCTCACCACTTGAAGATCTTGGAAAGTATTCTAGAGAAACAGACCCAAACATTAAGTCTTTGCACACCTGAGCTCCAGTCTGCAAGACAATATCCTATCAGTATATTTTCCTGGATATAATCAAAGTTCTAGACTAGAGGTCAGAAAACCTGCAAATCCTGCCTTATAGGCTGATTTTTTTTCCCAGCACCAGCTAAAGAATTCTTCATTCCAGAAAAAGCTCAGTAAAAGGAAGAGGAAAATAGGCTTAGTACAGGTATTCCTCACTTAACCACAGTAATTGGGACTGGAATTTCCATCGCTAAGTGATGTAGTCATAAAGCACAATGTCACGTGACTGTATTTCTTAGCCACAGAAATCCTGGCAGTCCCCATCGCCATCATTAAGTGAGGACCTCACATGATGGCAACTTGCAACTTCCTGACAGCTTCCAACAAGCAAAGTCAATGGGGAAGCTGGCAAGAAGTCGCAAGTCCTGGGTGGTTCACGAGCAGGCCAGCGGGTGGGTGAGTGCTATGGAGTGTGGCCAGGTGGGGGTGCTGCAGCACCACACAAATGTATGCAGGCAGGTATCCATTACAGAGTATGGGCGGGGAGTCCTGCGGGCATGCGCACTACAGAGTGTGAGATTCCTGGGATCCCATACTCTGTAGGGGGCTCCTTAGAAGAAAAAGTGGTGGTGCCAACTTACCAGAGGCTTGCGACCTTCCCTGCTGGCTTCCCTATTGACTTTGCTTGTGGAAGGCGTCAGGAAAGGTTGCAAAGGGTGATCATATGACCCTGGGACATTGCAACCGCCATAAGTGCGAGCTGGTTGCCAAGCACCCAAATCACAATCTCTTGACTGGAGGGTGCGACAGCTGGAATTTCGAGGACCAGTTGTAAGTACCACTCGTTCAGCACCACTGCAACTTCGAACGGTTGCTGAATGAGTAGTTATTAACCAAGGACTACCTGTATGTAAAGGTGCAACCAATGCATATACATCAGTCCATTTTTTTTTTCCTTTTGAGAAGGAAGACAACAGCCAACCAAAAATAAAAAAGTCACCACAAAAAGGCTTCATTCATATACATTCATACTATATACATCCACAACCTGGAAATGGCATCTTTATATCTGTTTCCTAAGCCTGTATTCCATTTGTCTATCATTTATAAGGGGAAGAGAAAGGACCATTTACTTCATAGAGAGGTAGAATGGATGATCTCTGAGTACTGTAAGAGGCTGCAGTGAAGTCGTGAGTTCTCATCATAGTGTTCTAGTGGGAAGAAAAACAAACACACACCTGTCAGATAACTTTAACCACCGGAGGCAATGAGAGACCAGCAGTCAAGCCCTGACACAGCAGACAATGTGAGAATGAATCACGGACTTACAGAAGGAGTGCTGGGTCTTGCTCACTCTGCTTTTCTAGAACCCAACATGATGGGTGAATTCCACTGGTATATTTGGTGAAGCAAGAACAGATTTTTGATCCTCACACTCCAATCTGGGCCCCTCACTCAACATGACAGCCATGCCCATCGTATCATGAGCAGTTCCCTTAGTTCAGTGCTGTCCAAACTTGGCCACTTTAAGATGAGTGGACTTCAACTCCCAGAATT